ATTTGTTTACAAAGGAAAGTATAACGGAGCGAAGCCAAAAAAAAAAAATCTTTCTTTGAAGAAAGAGGCAAAATTTTGATTCATAATATGTTAATAGGTATGTTATTTCATTTCCAAAAGTTGGAGGGGCCAAGCTAAAGGAAAACTACACAAATATTGTAAGTGTTTTGTATATACTTTTTGAATAGCAATACATATTAAGGGACCATTCGCTCCTCCCTTCTTCATTGCGCTTTCGATGTTTGATAATTGTTTCTTGTTTTTCTTAATCGAAAACAATAAATAAAATTGTAATTGTCATTACATGTTTCGTTGTTCCTCAAATTTTTAGCTAAGAAAAAAATAATGGCAAACATGTAAATTAATCTTTAAAAGTAAAATATTCAAAATTATTATGTTTAGTTAGTTTTTAATATTTTCCATTTTATAATTAAAAATAATAATATAATGATTTTATTTATGTATAAAAAAATCGAAAGGAGCTAGAAACCAAAAAAAACAAAAACAAAAAGATTGTGTGGTTCCAAAGTTCATATAGAATTTTGTTAACAATGAGAAATAAAAAAGATGTAATAGTTACTTTAACATTTATGTTTATCTTTATATAAGCATTACTAGACTATCTCATTTCATGGACAATTTTAAATATGTTCAAAGATGGCTAAATTTTACTTTGTATAATTATTAAAATGATTTTTTTATGCAATGTTCAGTAAAAATAATACATTTTTCTTTTTCTTCACCTTGAATAATACCTAGCTACCACCTCGACTCAGCTATCCACCTAAGCTAAGATCCTAACTCAACAAAATCTTTTTTATTTTTACACTCGATAAAGATTCAAACTTACAACTCATAAGGAAAAGATTCAAATATGTCTAACCATTCTAAATCTTATTTAAATTTTATAAACTAAAATCGAACGTTTAAGACTTAAGAAACAAAATAAAAAATATATATAGAGACAAAAAAAATAAAATAAGATTATGTATATAAAATAAAAGGAGATAAGACTTGAGAGATAGAAGAGAACGAGGAAAGGGATTAAAGGGGAGTTGTTGTTGTTGGGGCCATCATTTTCTTATCCTCAGTTGAAGCTCCCACCTCATAAGCCTTCATCAAATCAACAACTGAAAAGTGCCACGTCCTCCTGTTCCTCTCTTGCGTCCCTTCACGCTTCTCTTGCCAGCTCACTTAAATCCTCATCTCCCTTTTATTTCTTTATTACTTATACCTATACATAGATTTGTATCTATTTAATTATAACGTCGGTTATCTCTAATCCAAGTACAGCTCAATAAGTTAAAGTGTATATATTCTATAGAAAAAAATAACAAGTTTGAATTTCCATTCTCACATATTATTGTATTAAAAAAACACGTTTTTCTAAGAGGTAGATTAGATCAATATTTACCTGAATTTATAATGAGGTATTCTAAAAAAACAATTTTAGTGAATATGCCACCAATCTAATAAGCCTTACTCTCCCATGTATAATTTATTGATCAACGAAATACGTTAAAAAATTATTATTATTATTATTATTATTATTATTTTGCAAGATGAGTTTTCGCTTTATTATTTTCTTTAAAAGTTGAAGGTTAAATCATTGCTGTTGTATATTTGTTGATTTTTTTAGCTAATTAGAAATATATATACATTCCAAATATGACCATATGAATTATATATATTAAATTAATATCATAAACTTAACGACTCAAATTTTTAAATTGTTGAATACAAAATTTTAACACTATTTTATTACCATCTGTAAATCAATATTAGTATCTATAGATAATAAATTAAATTTTGAATTTAATATAATTTAATAACTTTAATCTAAGAGATATTTTCAACATGAGTCGTATTATCTTAATAGTTAATATATTTTTTAATTTCTCTTAAGAGATTGTAGGTTAAAATTTATGATTTGTTACGTGATATTATATTCTTTAAACAAAATATATAATAGAGCTTTTGGCCTAGATAGTGGTTGGGTTTGGGTTTGTGAAATCAATCCTACATTTAATATTGAAAAGTGTTAATGCGGGATGACTTTATTTAAAAACTTGTTGTGTATTTTCTAAAGGTAATTTATAAATATTACATTTATCTAAAAAATCAATGGTAAATATGACAATTTTTTAGACCCACAAATTATTGATCAAGTTAAATAATAATAATGAATGTATTTTAATTTTACATTGATTGATCTAGATATTTGTAAATATTACATTCATCTAAAATTTCTAGAGGCTTCTTGGAGAAGTCAAAAGAGAGAGTGAGGATACCAAATTAGAAATATAAATAAGTAATCTTGTTGGTTTATATTACTTTAGACTTTAAATAGAGAAAAATTAATAAATTTAGTACGATAATTTCACTCCTAATAATTTCAACGTTAAAATAATTATAATTTGATATGGAAAGATACACAAAATAATATATGTGAATTTTAATAAAATATAAGAAGCATATTGGAATATGCTGGTAAATTTAGGGAAAATAACAAACTTTCACAAAATTAGAAATTTATAAAATAAAGTAGATATTTTATAAATTAATGTTGCGTGGCCATTTTTAGGATGTTAAAAGGATATTCGGTCGGAATAAGGGAAGAAGAAAACCCTCATTTTGTCAACTATAAATGTTGTTGACCCACGTGCCTTAATCACTTAAATTTTAAATAATATCCGTTGAAAAAAAAATCTCAATAATTTAATTAAAAAATCACTTAGATCCCAAAATATTTGCAAGTCGCCCACTTACCATTTTCTCCCTCCGTCTTTGACCAATGGGTGTTTTGATCAAAGGAATTTCTTTATTACTCCCTTCTTTATGAATTAGGCTAAACCTAAATCTCAAAATTTTATATCTTGCAACCAAAAAAAAAAATTAAAACCATAAATAATGAATATAAATTGTCATCTAGATATCGAATATAAAAAATTATTTAAGTGGTTTCTAGATCTCATATATAACCGAGTGGAACGGGTCAAAAAGATATGAAGACAAAATCCTCCACCTCGTCGTAAATAGAGATTTCTTATCCTATTTATAATATGTCCCTATGTAAAAAGCGAAATGGCTATTCTGTATGGAAGGTAGAAGTTTAGCAGTACTTTCAACTGTATTGATACTAATCTAAATTATATTAAATTTAAAATAGCCACAAATAAGATATTCTATTTCTAGCAGGAAAAAAAAATAATAAAGAACTTTATTATTTAGAATTATTATCTGAATCCGAGGGGAATAGAGGAGAATAATAAGAATATGAAACTACGGATATACCCTCGAGAAAACAAACTTTTCCTCCAAGCATTCCGGAGGTAAAATCAGGCCCCACCCGACCGGTAGTGGAGAAACTCCAAGCCATCTCATTTGGAAATCTACAAAAACTAGGGTTATATCTGTCTTTTCGCACCCCGAGCTTATCCAAATCTGTGGGCTCTCAGAATATGCCATTTCCGGTCCCCCAAATGGATTATTTATTTTTTTTGTATTTTAATTTTTTATTCCTTACCTGATGGGGGGAAGGGGAGGGGGAGGGGCTCATGTGGCAAATGTCGAACAGCGACCTCCCCCACTCGCAGATTATTGGGCGTGAGGCCCACTTCCTTAAAAATTTAATTTATTTCGTAAAAAATAATAATAATAATTAAAAAAAACCTACAGTTTTATGGCACATCATTATTAAATCTACGTTATCCACAATCTTCTCTTTTGGTGGCACTCCATCATCCGCCATACATTTGGCCTTGAAATGAAATTATTTAGATGGAATAGATAATTTACTCGAAAACGAAAAATATCGTCTTAGAAAAAAAATCAAGCTCTGATTTACCGTTCCTCTGCCAAACATTATGTTTTTTCTTGAATATTGGAGTTCAAATATTCATGAACTCGCTATTTGATTAATTATAACAATTTTTAAAGAAAAAAAAAGTATTTGTCATCGTTTAGGTACGTGATATTTACCATTTCGTAATTGTAACGTCCCATTACAAGTAATTTTTTGGGATAAAATAACTAATATTTATTATGTGAAAAAAAGTAAGAAAGAGAAAACCACTCGCAACCTAGTTTTTTTTAATAAAGAATTAATATTTTTGATTTTTGATATTTGATTATATATTTGTATTGAAATAGAAACACAAATGAAAATTTGAGTCAATTTCCTGTATTTATCTAAACAATTTCATTATATTAATTATTAAGATGGTTTGACTCAATATTTTATTTCTAAATCGGTTTTAAAATGAAACTAAGATCAAATAATGATTTTGTCAGGTCTAAAAAAGGCTATGATTTAAAGAAATACACAAAAGGATATAGTATAGAAGTCGAACAAATTTGTAATAATGAAAAACAAAAAAAAATAAATACGTTACTAAATTGATCTAATTTTGTTTAGAAACTTATTTAGTTGAGATTTAAAAAATATATACTTTCTAAAAACTAGATAAGAACAAATTTATTCTTTTAAAATAAGAAAGATAAGAATAAAATCGATTCTAAATTTGGACCGAGGGAAGAATTTAGGGGGGGGGGGGTGGCAATAAAAATTTTGACAGCTTTTCCAAATTCAACAAACTTAAACAAGATTTTACAGAAAACCCCTTACAAAAACGTCATTTTCCAAATGGGCCCCAACGTGTTTTATTTTATTTTATTTCCAGATAAAATCAAGATGCCAAGTGCGCATCCTTATGCCAACGACGATACAGCCTCGCCGCACCCGAATTTTCCCCTTMTTTTATTGAAAATGAAAAAGGCGTCGCCGGATTAGCAGTTGAATCCTCCTCGGCTCTGATTCTCTGTTCCGCGCAAACGATAATTAAAATTTAAAAATTAAAAAAAGAGAAAAAAAAAAGAAAAACGTTTCATCAAAGATAAAAATAAAAAATTCCATCTTACTTAATTAATAATTATTAAATATTAATTTCCTGTTTCGAGTCTTTATCTGGCCCTATTAAATCTGTGTCTCTTCATATAAACTCGGTTTTTTGGTTTTGGGTTTCGTTTCTTTCCTCACAATCAACCACCGTTTTTGGTTTTCACGTAAACCTTCTGTGAGTTTAGAGATCGAAAGTTTCTCGCATTTTATTCTGTTTTCTCTGGCCCTTTGCTTCTTCATTTTCCTTGCTTTTCCCCTAATGGTTATGGAGGATAACGAGAGCTGTGGGAGTAGAGCGAACGACTCGACGCCGGCGCAGAGTCGGAAACAGAGGCAAAAGTTTGAGGTTTACAATGAGGTTCTCCGGCGTCTGAAGGATTCCAACAACCAGGAGGCCATTCAGCCTGGTTTTGACGACGAGTTATGGACTCACTTCAATCGCCTACCCACTCGGTACTTTTAACCTACTCTTTGCTTCCGTACTCTCTCCTGCATTTCTTCTTTTGACTCCTTTTTCGCATTTTCACGATCGAGGTTTTCGTTTTCTCCAATCCCTTGTTTGACAGCTGGTTAGCCGGTTATTGATTTCTGGATTGCGTTTCCTTTTTGTTTGTTTTGTGAATCAATGTTGTTTTTTCATGTATTGTTTGTCCTTTTTGTTTTGTTTCTTTTATCGGATTAGCATCGGATCAGCTTGTCAGTTTTGGAGTAGAGGAGAGCGGATAATATGTTTATATTGCCGACTCTACCTTTCTTCTCATGCTCGCTTGAATAAACAGATTTGATATGAGTTTGTTTTGAGAGTTATTTCAGCTCTGTTGCTTCTGCTAGCAATGTTAATTATGCCGTCCTGAACACTTTCTGAGTTTAGCCGCTTAGTTTTTGAGTATCATATTTTCTACTTCTTGTTCGGTTGACAAATAGTCGATCAATTAGATTCAATGCTCTGCAGATATGCTCTCGACGTAAATGTGGAGAGGGCAGAAGATGTTCTCATGCATAAAAGGTTATTGCAAGTTGCTCACGATCCTGCAAATCGACCTGCAATTGAAGTCCGCCTAGTGCAGGTGAGCAAGCCCATAACAACGATTTAAGTTTATTGAGCGTTTTTCTTTTTCCCTCTCCCCACACCACGACATGTCATCCACAGTGTTTGTCAAGAATGTAGTACAATGTGCATTTTATTGTTTAGGACTGGATTACTAGATATTGTTAAACCTGCATGGAACGTTTTCCGGTCATTGATGAGGGACTAGCAGTTATTTGTGTATCTCTATCAGATAATTTGGTTGGTTCTTTTTGGCAATAGATTGGAACACCGTCTTTTTTCTAGTGATCTTACTGGAATTTAGGAACAAAGAGTAGTGATCATATAATAAGCTAAATTGATCCATCAACCGTGCTTTCACATAATGACAGGTTGGATTAAATTATTAAAATGGAATGTTAGTGTTTATTTTACAAAGCTGAGGAATGTAATTGAATCCAGGCATATGAAGTATGCACCAGCATTCTAGACCACCAGGTCAATTATTCTTTTATTATAATCTTAGAATTCTGGCTCGACTTTCCTGAAATCTGCTGCTAATTCTGATCTTTGGCTGAGTTCTTCACATAGTATCCATGCTGTTTTTATTTCATATGGTTGTTTACCTTTGCAACTTTAATGATTTGCGGTAGAAAGTTTTGTTTCAATTAGAATATAAATTCTTATCTGAAATCAACGTCACTTATTTGCTTTCTTTTCAACTTTCAACTTTCAACTTTCATTTCTGAAGGATTATGATTAGTTACTTGTGAAGGGACTTTTTATTTTCTCTTCTTAGTTTCACTTGATGCATCTTCGGTAAATTAATTTTTATGAATCATGCTGCTCTAGGTTCATGCCATTTCTGATGGGAATTCAGCTGATTTTGCTGATTCATATCCTGTAAAAGATGCTGATCACAATTCTGCAAATTTTTTGAGCAGACAGAGGTATGCTTTTATTTCCTTATCTTCTTGTATGGTTAGTGTGTAATAACTCTGATTATGTTAACCTTGTCTTGTTATCATGTTTGAAAATCACGAATCCAATCAAATCACATCTTATTTCTTTGTAATGCTGATTGTAGTATTTGTTATCTTCTTATTAATGTATAGAATCTTTTGATTTTCAAATTTTTTAGCATACATCCACCACCTGCCTTTGGGTCATCTCCTAACCTCGAGGCCCTCGCCCTTGAAGCTAATAATGCTCAGGATCTGGAGGTGGATCATTCTGTACATGCCAGAACACAGTTTTTTCGGTAATTTCCATTCCATTGCATTAGAAGTTAAACGAGTATGGTTTTACTGCATTTGTTGTTTTTAAAATTTAATTGTGGATTTCAAATTATCTAAATTGTTTTAGTAGATCTATCTGTTTCATACATGTACCAGTACTTCTGTGAGAAGAAAAGTGGTTTATTGAAACTTAACTATTTTTATGAAACTTGATCCTTTGTTTTTTTCACTCTACCAACTGTTTCTGCATTTAATTGACATTTATTTCTTTGTTGGTTTGACAAATAATGTAGGCCGATGCATGAAATAACTTTCTCAACGGATGATAAGCCGAAACTTCTCAGTCAGGTATCTCCCATACATTTGATCCCTCTGCAGAGTCTGTGTGTATGGTAGGCACATGGTATTCTTATGCTGGTACTGACTAGTGGTCCTGGAAATGGGTAACTAGTTTAGGTGCCTTGTAAACCTCTTTCGTAAAAGTCAGTCATGACCATTAATTTAGCTATAAAGTCAGAATTGTTAATTTATCTTACATTAAAGCTTTTATCCACATAAAGATTTTATCAATAGATACTCCATCCATTTGAAACGGGATTTTGCTAATGTCTAGTCATATAAAGCGCGTGAATAAGTTTCTGAATCTTTACCTTGTTATCTTTTACTTTGCTTAGCTGCTGCTTCTTATATATTTTTAGTTGACTTCCTTGCTTGCGGAGATTGGGCTGAACATCCAGGAGGCACATGCATTTTCCACTGTTGATGGCTTCTCCTTGGACGTTTTTGTAGTTGATGGTTGGCCCTATGAGGTATATATTATTCTTTTAGGTACACCTGAGCTGAAATGTAGTTTCTCTTTTATCCCTTCCAAAATAAAAGGAAAATGTGGATAAGGAATTTTTGTCTGGTCTGTTCCTTTCCCTGATGGAAAGGCATTCCGCTAAAACCTTGGGCTTTAGTTGTGATAATGTTGAAGGTGAAAGTTTAGTGCCTTCAAGTACACTTCTATAATGTATTTAGTAGCATTATATTAGGTTCCAATAAGTTTTAAACCTTTAGTGTTTGCCCTTTCCAAATTTTGTGAGAGCAATATTAATCAAGAAGAAACGGATAACTATTGTTTTGGGTTGTTTTCTATACTGTACATCAAACATGCAAGTTGAAATTTTAACCCATGTTCAAATTTAATTTGTATTTTGGTACTGAAACAGGAGACAGAGAGATTGAAGACTGCCTTAGAGAAGGAAGTCTTACAGGTTGAGGTAGCTCCTCATTAATTATTGGTTGAATTAAAATTGTGCGTCTAGGTTCCTATTTGCTTTACGATTATTTGCTCAGTCAACCCATGTCTACTGTCTGTTTTATGTTCTCATGTCAGTTTATTCTTTCACCATGAATTTGTGTATAATTCTCTTTGGAAATTTTCTTTTCTTGTCAGAGGCAGGCTTGGCCAAACCATAAATCCTCATCTCCTGTAGGGGAACGTGATATAACAATTAAATGCGAGCCTGATCGGGTGGAAATACCCACGGATGGGACTGATGTATGGGAAATTAATCCTAGACATCTGAAGTTTGAGCATAAAGTTGCATCTGGGTCGTATGGGGATCTGTAAGTTCAAAACTTTTCTTTTCATGCTTCTCTTATGTACATCTGCTTGATACAGTTTTATGTGAGCCTAAATATCTTTATCAACAAAACCAGGTATAAAGGTACGTACTGCAGTCAGGAAGTGGCTATTAAAGTCCTCAAACCAGAACGTGTGAATTCAGACATGCAAAGTGAGTTTGCCCAGGAGGTATACATTATGAGGTAGGTCTCAGATATTGTCTGTTATTCTTAATCTAACATTTTATTTTATGGTTATTTTAATCAAGTTATTTAACATTCATGACATAGGAATCATCATTTCTAGGTCCATAAACACACTGATCATCGACCCAATAAATTCCTTTCATTTTGTGATTGAAG